GACAATCAGACAGACAGGGAGCAGCTGAGCTGTGACACACTGGGGAACACTGAAAACACTAGAAAACTAAGAAAATAAACACAGATCATGACAGGAGCTGTTTTCAACATCGTTAAAATCCTTGAAAATGTTTCTAAATCTTTACAGCACCTTACACCTTTTCTTCTGCTTTTGCTCTTTTTCACATTCTTGTGTGAATTTCAGCTACTTTTTTGCTAATTTTAGCTTTTTCTGCCATTTCAGCTACTTTTCAGCTAATTCTGCTTCTTTCCGCTATGCTTCTTTTTAAAAAAAAAATTTATGCTTTTTTTCAGCTACTTTGTGCTATTTATGAATCTTACAGATGTTTTCTGCTATATTCAGCTATTTGCTGAAATTTTAACTAATGTTTAGCTGCTATTAGCTAAAGTTATCTTTTCTAAGTTAAAAACACATTTTTGTACCTTTTACAATTTTTTTCAGATAAGTTGAGCAAACTTGTGCTCTTTATGCTAATTAAAACATTTTCAGATACCTTTTAGCTGTTTTACTGAAAATTGCAGCTGTTTTAGTTATTTTACTACAAATGATCACTTTTATGTAATTTTATGATTTTTTTCAGCTTTGTTTCTGTTTTAGCTATTTTTCAACAACAGCTATTTCATCTTGCTTCTAATTTCAAATTGTAGCTGCTACCTTTAGCTTATTTTATGCTAATTTTAGCTATTTTATGCTACTTTAGCTATAGATCTGCTTCTTTCTGCTGTTCTTCTGTTTTTCTCCCTTTTCTGCTTTTTTTCTGCTACCTAGTGCTGTTTATGCTTCTTATAGTTGTTTTCAGCTATTCAGATGTTTTAGCTCTTAGCTTTTAGCTGTTTTCTCTTTTCATCTAGATTTGTGCTCCTTTTTACTGTTTTTCTGCAATGTTAGGATTTTAACACTTTTCCTATAAGAAGTTTTCAGCTCAGTTTCGGCAGGTTTCAGCTGAAGTTTTCAGCATGAAGCGTTCACACAAGCATTTTCACAGGAAATGCAATTTCTCTTGTTAAATTAATGTTTTTTACCTTCCAGTGTGCTTAAATACTTGAACCCCTTAACAGCCTTTTGACATTTTTATTTTTTTGTAAGGATGTCGAGCTAAAGGTAAGAACTAAAGGAAGTTGTCTGACTCCCTGGTTTTCAAAATAAAAGCCCCCGGTAGCCTCTGGAAATGTTTAGAAACAGCACAGTTTTTCCCGCCGTTGGAACAAGGACTGCTGATTAAAACACCTTCTCCTGTCCCTCCTCAGCTCGCCGTGTCGTCTCATGAAAACGCCACTCCAGTCAAGCTGATCCACAATGCTGCGGGTCACCTGAACGGGCCGGCCCGGACCGTCGGCGCCGCTGTCATTGGATATTTAGGTAAACCTGGGAAACTGGTTAAACCCAGAAAAGACCGGAGGAGAGAGGATAAAGTCTCACCTCTTCTTTCAGGCGTTCGCACGTTCGTGCCCAAACCTGTCGCCACCAACCTGCAGTACGTCGGCGGGGCGGCGGCCATCTTGGGACTGGTGGCCATGGCGTCGGACGTGGAGGGGCTGTACGCCGCCGTCAAAGCTTTAGTGTGTGTGGTGAAAAGCAACCCTCTGGCCAGTAAGGAGATGGAACGCATCAAAGGCTACCAGGTGGAAAATCAAAAAGATTCGACTGAATAAAGTCAAATAAACACATGAATTAAAATGTGTGTGTTTTCCCTCGCAGCTGCTAGCTATGCTGCTAAAGAAGAAGCGCTCGCTGCTCAACAGTCACATCCTCCACCTCACCTTCTCTCTGGTGGGGACGGTCGACAGCGGCCACGAGACCTCCATCATTCCCAACTCCACGGCCTTCCAGGACCTGCTGTGTGACTTCGAGGTAAAAACTTCGACTTGTTCTGCCTAAAGGGATCCAGGATTAGTTTAACATTAGATTTTATTTAATAAACATTTATTTTAACTAAAATAAAGACTAAAAATACTGTAGGCTGTTTAGTTTTTATAATTTTTAAACTAAAAGTTTCAAAATATATTTTAACACGGATGTAGCCATTTTATTTCCACACAAAGCATTCTGGGTAAATGATGACGTGGATAGGTCCTCGGTGCGAGGCTGCTAGCGAGCTATATCCACCCTGAAGGTTAATCTTGGACAATATCTGTGTCCAAAACAACAGGACGGGTCCTCCGAAGGTTGAATTTGTCGGCCGCATACGTCACAGCACCGCAACGAAGGACGTCCCAAACC